GGCAGCGCCCTCCTGCTCTCTCCTCGCTCCTGAGCAAAAAGCCCCTTTCCCGCCCCTTTGTCCCAACTTAAATAGGGCAATTCGCAGAGGCGCCGCCTTGGCTCAACCTCCCCCGGGGGGGATGGGACTCAGATCTGGTGGCACAGGGAGCAAATCCCCTCCCCTGCCACCAGAACACCCCCACACACATCAAACTATCACAGCTTGGTTTGGTAATGGTGAGATTCTATCCTTGATATTCTCTGTAGAGGATCTGCCTACTCAAGCTATCAAATGTAAGTACAGAAGCTTCATAAATATCAGGGGTTCTTGGAGAAGTCCTATGGGGATGTAAAGTTTGTCAAGTGGTGTGTTAGGGCACTTAACTCCCTGAGCTCACAGAGAGAAGCAAAAGTTGATCATGTCAAGTTGGAATCTGCTTTGGACCCTTCTGCACAGCCAATCTTAACTCACATGATTTGCAAATTATTACACTTTTCACTATTTATGAACTCCAGCAGCAACAAAGTATGCAGAATAAATTGACAGGAACTGGACAATACTGTGAGAAAAATCAAGAATGTCACTATGTTCCAAATGAGATGGTCATTACAGCTCCTGCCAATAATGTAGTAGTACAATATGAAGTTTATAGAATGCTTATATAAAGATTACCATTCAACAAGAACTGTATAAGCCAGATACAACTATTATATCAGATGGGTATTTTCATACATTGAAAGAGGACATATTAAGTAGGATGATTATTTCCTTTTGCTATTTTTTTCCAAACATGTCAAGCTACAGTAATATATTCAAAACCGCTGAAATACTCACCACAATTAGCTTCATCTGATCCATCAGCACAATCTGGGTCTTCATCACACACCCACAGTTTTGAAATGCAGTGTTTTGTTGTTTTACATTGGAAATGGTCTGGAGAACAACTGTTTTCAGCTTTGAATAAAAGGATTCCAAATTACAACTTGAAATTTCTTCTAATATTAAAAATATTTGGTTTAAATAAAAAAATATTAAGGATTCAAAATTCAGAAATTAGATAGCTCTAGCCTCACAAAACGTGTAAGAGAACAGCATTCAGGTTTACCTTGTTTGTAACTTTGTCTTCTTTTTATATAATTTTATATATAACAGTAAGGTCAAACGAATCTAACAAACAAAGTGTCTATTGAGATATTATTTTAACAACAAATACATTTAACACTGATAAAATCAAACCGCTTTAGTAAAAAGCGGTCAGATTTTTTTTTTTTCCTAACTTCCTAAGACACCAGTTATCAATTCTGAAAGTCAGTTTCAAGGACTAAGGCAGCTCTCGGTATTTTGATCGAAAAGGTAATCAAAATTATGTACAATTTTGGTGGAATTCTGTGCTCTGTGTTAAAAGAGGCCCTGGGTAAATGGTGAGAAAAGTTTGACGTTTATTTCATTTTATCATTTAAGCAGAACAATTTTTTGAATGAATCCTACAGCAAGATACAGATGCAAAGATACAGCTAACCTTCACCCTATTCTTTCAGGATGCTTCAAGATAAAGCTCAACTGCTTTAACTTTAGAACAGTCACTTAGTGACAAAGATCCTCCTCAGTGCACTCACATGATTCTAGATCGGCTTCCTCACAAGCATATATGCCAGATTTTACTTTTTCTTAAAGTCTTACGACTGAGAGTATAGAGGCAAGATGAATAAAGGACATCTATCTGGGCTGGGCTGTGAGCAAGCTATTTGTGATCAGATCCATAAGGAATTCTTTTGAGACAAGCATGTGTACGAGAACCTCCAAATTGTTCTAAACTGAATTGAACATAGGTGGAAAACAGCATGATCTATTCTCAAATCATGTTTTCCCATATGAACATTTGTCCCACTTTTACCTAGGAAACTCCGTAACGTTTTTAAACAAACTTTCCTGTCCCTGTTGAAAAGCAATTTGCTCCTTGATGTTATCATTCTTGCTCCTTGGGTTTGACTAGATGAAATATTTAAGGTTTGTTAAAAGTTGGTGCATTAGATCTTTCATTGTCACATTTCCATACATAAATTTACAGTGCTGGAATTAAAAAGCATTTAGACTCAGCTATGCTGCTAACTATACTTACAAAAAAAACCACTACTGATTCTCAGCTAGGACACCTCACCAGGGGATTCCAAAGGGCTTCACAGGAAGATCAGCATAATTACCTCCATTTTACATACAGAGAGCCTTAAGTACAAAATGTGACTATCTCAAGGTCACTTGATATATAAAACAAAACAGTCGTAGATCTGAAAAAAAATGTCTTTATCTTATGAATCTAGTCCAATGAAATTAGAATGATACAGATAATCTCAGTTGTTATCTGTCTTGTGACAGGAGCCCAAGTCAATATGAACTTTACGGCAGACCTATTTAAAACCTCTCCTTTTCATAATCTCCACAAAGGCAACTGGAGATTTTTCAGAAGGCACAATTGAGTTTTTGTTAAAATCTAAACTAGCACTCTTAACTTTCTTAAGAGAGAAGCTAATAAAGCCTTGGTAAGACAGAACAGAAATAAAAAATGTCTACAATTAACCTCCCCCGCTCTGCACTGTGCCTTTGCAGGTGGGTTGATGGCTGAGTTTCAGACAATTCAAAGCTTGCTTTATGTCACAGCAGACTGTCCTATCCCCACTAATCCCCAAGAAGTTTTCAGCTCCATCACCACTGATCCTGACCCTATCCCTCCCACAGTCCCTGAGTACTGCTGCGCTGCACACTCCACTGCTCTGATTTCATTTTATTTCATTTCTGTCAGCTACACCTCAAGGTTTTGGGAATCTTCCGTATACCATGTGCAGTTCTTTGTAACAAAAAACCCAGTATCTCCCCTATCTTCCACAGCAGTGTACCTGACCCCACTTAATCAGTTTCTAAAGAAACGTAACATGCAAACCAACATATAATGCTGTCTGTCCGAGGCTGCAGCTCTGCTGAGCTTTTTGGAAGACAGCCATTAAACATGACCACCAACAAAGCCTTTGTATCCTTAGCAACTCTTCCCTTGGAGAAGGCCATGTTCTTTGCAGAAATGCAGCATATGTAAACCTTGAGAAAGCTAATTCGGAAAATAGGAATAAGCACCTTAGATCAGTATTAGATCCAAATAACGAACTGTGTAAAGGACGGAGATGTATTTCAAGACAGCACTACCATTTTAATTACAAAATGATCAAAGACACAAGCTATTCAATACAGGTCTAAGTCCGAAAATATTTTCTCTACTTATACCTAAGAAATACGGAGTGAAAATGAATTTTAAAAAAGTAAAACATATTAAAAATTGAGTAAATGGAAATCAAGTTACATAGGCAAATTAATGAAGAAGTCTCCAGAAGAGAGGGAATAGAAAAGGTAGAAAAACCCATCAAAGAAAAAGGATGTAGGAGCAGCTACGGATCTACATCTTTTCCAATAAAAGATGCAGAAATATTTTTTTTCTATTGAAATGTGTTGCTGCAAGGCATGGCAGATGAAAGCCTCAAGAGGATGAGTCATTTGTGAGGTGGTTAAGAGTAAAATGGATGTTTCAGACTAAGTCAGAAACCCAATTAAATGCTTGAAATTAATTGTCTACACACCTCTCTTCTTTGCAATGACTTTAAAAAATGAAGTTAATAAATGACAGTTTAGTTTGTTCTCTTGCATATAAAGCATTGTACATCAAAGTATCCTGCGAATTAACTGTTTTATATGTTTCCCAAATTATTTTACAGAAAGGCCATTTACAGTATTTTACATATTTTACTTTGGTTCCTTGTTTAAAACCCGCTACAATTTTCAAAAGAAAATTCTCTAAACATAACTTACGACAGTCTCTTTCATCTTCTTCATCACCACAGTCATCCTGTCCATTGCATCTCAGATTTATTGGAATGCACTTCTGATTCTTTGTGCATTTGAACTGACCTGACAGACACACATGTGTGTCTGTAAGTTAAAAGAATAAAAAAATCTAGTTAAAAAGATCAAAAGGTAAAGACTAAAATATTTAAAAATATAAATTAGCTTCTTGACAAAATTTAAAGCATGACACCTAAATCAGTTTATCATATTTCTAAAGTCTACAATGTATAATCACCTACCACAGTTCAGTTCATCAGAATTGTCCCCACAATCATTCTCTCCATCACAGATAAAGGCTGGAAGAGCACAAAGTCCAGTTCCACACTGAAAACGTCCTGGCTGACATCTGAATTCAGCTGAGAAAAATGAAAACTGCTTATGAATACTACCAGAGAAACGGTTAAAGTATCTATAGTGCTGTTCTTCCTCTATGGACTAATCAAAAGAACTTACAAACCTTTGTATTTGCCTATATAATATCAATCGGAGTAGATAATTTTGCAATAGTGTGTGTACATTTTAGTTACTATTAATTTCAAAGTCTCAGATTTAAAATTTGCATAACTATAGTTATACCTTACTAATGACAAGGTGCAACCCTCGACAGGTTGAGTCTTACTATCAACAGAGACTTGCAATTTAGGATCTAAACACTTGAGTTCAAGTCTGCACTTAAGAAACTCACTATCTCACTCCAATTGTATTTCCCATGAGAAGTCTAACGTCGTTCCTTCTCACCACCACTGCCATTTGAGTGAACTAGCAATTACATAAAATATTACTATAGAGGTGCATAAAGACAGTGTAGCTTAAAATTTAATCTTATGTAGAACGATTATATACGTTAAAGCTTGCTTCAAAGGTCTTTGCAGCAGAAAAAGGGAACTAATTATAAAATTGTAAAAATAGGAGTGAAAGATTTCAATTTAAAAAAAAATAAATCAAATGGGCTGTTACTTAACTGGAAGACTACAGAACACGTAGTAGAGTGTTTTGTGTGCATAAGCTTGAAGGAAGAAGGCAAGAATATTTTGATTTATGCAGATTATATTATTATATATTATATTAATATAATAGTGACTGGGACTGAAAAATAGCATCATCAACAGGTATTAGTCTTTATGAATCCAGTACACTAAAAAGGTACTTTTCTAAGTAAGTATACTTGCAGTCAGCTACCATCAGAGAAACCATCCTTGGGATGCTGAAAACATCATCATAATTGACTTTCAGCTGTCTACAATTCAACAGGGAAATTTTTTGACTTTTTGGACTACGGGAGGCTATCAGGAAACATGCTGTATCTGCACCACCTTCAGGACAGTGCGTCGAAGTTACACTGGGTGCAGGAAAAACATTCATTGCGTAATGTTGTTTGTACTGGAGGGGTGAGATTTAGCTTTCCAGACTTTCCTTTGACAATACTTATAAAAATCTCAAATGAAAATATTTATATAAATATTGAGAAAAATACACAGAATTTTAGCAGGAATCACATAGAGAATGTTGTTGTTCAGAAAATTGCACTAAATGATCATGTGTAGCTAAAATTGTATCATTGCAATGAAGCATACACAAATGAAAATTCCACATTTCTACTACATACAAAATAACCTGGCAGAATTTTTCATTTATAAATAAAAATCAGCAACCTCAGAAATTAGGTCTAATACAAAAATCTTCAGCAAAACAAAGTAACCAGGATCAAATAAACGTTTAAAACATGAAAAACACGTTCTTATGATTTTCCAAAGACCTTAAAAGACCCCTAGTAAACATGACTTAATGAAAATCTTTTACAAGCTGACCAAACAAGAGCCTGTATCCTTTGTAAATCTGACAGCGACCGAGGAAAAGAACACAGTGCTGCAAACAAAAACTTTAAATAAACACCCTCTTCCTAAAACCTATAAAGCATTCCATTTGATTTGGACTCTACTGGT